TCGTAATATTTTGAGGATTAACACCTAGACTATGTTCTTCTCTGTCAACTGAAAGATCTTTTCAATATAATTTTATTAAATGCTTTTAGAGTTGATAAAATAGCAAATAATGTTTTCACAATCACTCTAATTATTTAAATGTATAAAAATCAGCACAGCACCTAAGCATTATTCAAAATTCAGTAAAGGAATCTACATTTTATCACATCAAATTAATGAGAGAAGAAGATGGATGAAAAGGTGACTTTCAGAGGAGTATTTCAGCACACTCTATAGGAGCTTTGCTATACAAAATACCTTCAGATAAATCACTTCTAATAAGCTTTCAGTCTAGAGGATCTGGAGTCATTACATGGAAACTGTAAAAGGGATGTTTCAGCCTGTAAGCGTCACAGACTCGATTCGTGTGTTTTTCTAATATTACTTCGTGCACTAGGGGGAGCTGCTGCAACTCTTTATCACTATAGAAACCCAAAGAATATATAGCACGTAATGGAAATAAAGCATGAGGGAGATTTCAGAAAAAAGATATATTCTTCAGCCAATAGCAAGAATGATTGTATGAATCTGCACAACTTAATCTGCTTATATATTCTGTGTTCAGTATTGTTTCCTCAGTACAAAGGAGATGAAGCAGCACTTTCCCCCTTTCAGAATGCATGCTTTCAATGAAGAAGGCACAAATTTATGTAGCTTTTAAACAATTATAGAAATTAAGTTGCACAAAAAAAAAAAAGCTAGCATAGTTTTTCAGGTGAGATGTCGTTTTAATTGAGTGTATCACAGGAAAAATAGATGTGAGGAGGTAATCAAAGTCTGTACCATAATAAACACAAAGAACTGAAGTCCGTACCATAACAAGCACAGATAAGAGGACTTCATTAACACTGCTCAGTCAGCCTCCATTCTCGAAATTCTCTGCTTTTGAGTACTTAATTTTTCAGCCTTCCTTTCAAGCAGAATTTTTTTGGGTGTAGTTTCTTGAGGATGTGGGGGTTCTTTTAGCAAACTGAACTATGGAGATTCCATTACAGAAAATAATATAAAACTTCAGCTTGGATCATTAGCAGGGTTGACTTTTTGACTATCAACTACTTGAATAAATAGAATAATTGTTATTAATCACAGATTTCTATTCTTTCTGTGGATCATTCCTATGCTCTTTTAGGCATGGCATCCACAGTTTGCAAAGGAGTTTAAGACATTTATTGATAGCAGAAAAAAGCATTCAGCACCACACTCTGTAGGAGAGTAGAGATTCGTGCTCTCGATGGGTCTGTCCTCTGTTCTTAGTCACATTCATTCCTCTGTGTCTACAACTCATTTCTGCACTGTCCTCTTTAAAACTACCATATATGTCCTGTCTCCAATGAAGAATGGGCTATTTCTTTACTCATTTCTTACCTGGGCACAAGTAGACGGTGCAAAAGCACAGGGGAGACAACAGTGATTTTTAGTCAGTGTCCGGCTTTATAATAATCAAAATGTTGCTTGAGAAACTACAATGTGTGATTGCGAGAAAACCCATACTGCTAAGCATCAACACGGGAATGCCCAAGCAGCCCAAGATCAAAGATGAACAGTATGGAAATTCTGCATACACAACATGCACAGCCTGTGCGCACAAGCTTGCAGTTCAACTGTAATGAGCCTCTAGTAAGCGAGTTTCCACTGAGATTTTTCAAGGCTTGACAATATGGTTTCTTTCATAGGGGGTTGTAAATGGCACTCCCTACTGCCAGAACAAGCCTCAAATGTCGAGCTCCTACTCCAAAGGACAGGATTGATAGTGTGTCACTGGGAAAAGCTATTTAAAACGTGCTATGTATTTTCCCCCAATCTCAATGTCAGAGAGGTTTGATCCATTTCAATTTAGAAATCACCCAGAAACATACTCTCAGCATGGCAAATTCAGCTAAACAGTGAAAAAGTGGCCAAACTGTAAGAACAGGATCTTGCAGTGGGAAGCACCATGCAACCCCACTGCCAGCTCTGCTGGTAATATATGGAAACAGAAACCACTACCTATTCTGTCTGCATGCTGGAACCCGACCTCCCTGGAGTTCTAAGTACTCTTCTGTATCTTTTCCAAAAATGTATTTGAAATTATTATTGATTTTGTAATTTTGGCTTTAGGTTTATATTCGTCTCACAGATCTAGCTATATCCAACTCTACCCCATGAGGATTTTTGAAAACTAGAACTAGAGAGACCGGTACATGTATTAGATTGACTAGTTAAAAAGACCAAAGCTGTCTTATTTTCCCTTATGTAAGACAGCTTTAAATTGACTTTGCTCCCATTCCCCAAAACATAACTGAGAACAGTAGCATACTCTGTCTCAGTATTTTATGCTCAATTTAACTGCTATATTGCATTAAATGATGTGCAATAATGTAACCCTAAATGCAAATGAATTCGTGTTTGTTAAAAAAAAAATCTCTTTGCTGCCTTCTCTAAATAGAATTTTTTTTATAGATTTTAATGAACTAGGAAAACCAAACACCCCCATATGGTGAGAAAATTTCAAGGCATGTATTAAAAGAAAAATCTTAGGTTACTCATCAAAAACTAATAGATGTGACAGGAGAAAAAAATTAAGCTATGAAGATGAAACTCAAATAATTAGCAAAGATGGAAAATCATCTATTATAGTGCTTGTAAAAGACTCAGACTAAAAGAGAAAAACATGCATTTCATATTTCAATAGTGGAATATATTAAATTTCATTTGAAGCAAATTATCTATAAACTTCCCTAGAAATTTAAAACAACACATACACCCCCTGAAATAAATGCATCATCGCAATCAGAATTACTTAAGACATTATATCATAGAATCATACCATAGAATGGTCTGAGTTGGAAGGGACCTAAAGGACCATCCAGTTCCAACCCCCCTGCCATGGGCAGGGACACCTTCCACCAGACCAGGCTGCTCACAGCCCCGTCCAACCTGGCCTTGAGCCCTGCCAGGGAGGGGAGCAAAATACATAACATCTACAAACACAGGGCTGTTTTCTGGTACCCTGTTATTTTGTATTTCAAACAGCTGGCAACAGTTCAGGGAATTTGGCCCTGCAATCCCAGTATCTCCCTGATCATTCAAAACTGACTGCAGGGCATGAAGATGGACATGTTGTGTAAGCACTGTAACAGTTATACAGTTTAAAATTGCGGGAATGAAGGTTGCATGAAGTAAACAAAATATTCAGGTGTTTATCTCTGCTGCATTTACCTTTCACTTAACAGAATTAAATGAACCGTGGCCATATGTCAAGAACACAGAACTAAGATTCATGAACCATTTCTATGCTGTTGTAGGTCCTTCTGCTGCATTTGTCATGGGACTACTTGAGCTCATCCAGGATAAAACAAGGTGACAAGCATCTGTCACATACTTACTCTCTCAGCTTCTCTCCACAGTAACGTGTACAGTGAGGGCTGGAGAAGGATGCCTGCTTTATATATGTGTCTTGGAAAGGAAGTTAATATGATTTGCAAAGGACCTTATTCCTGTAAAAGTCACTGAACAGTCTGAGCCTGCCTCAGCCAAGTTGCCTCCTACTCTGGTGAACATTACTTTGTGCAGGAAGAGTCCTGTTGTGCTAGAAAAGCCCAGCTATTGGCAGCAGCATTAATCACTAAATATTGCTCAGTTTCTAAAATACTTTGTGCCTGAAAGTGTATACCACCCTTAGATGAGCTTACTGCTCATCACTAGGTGGATATCAGCTTCTAGGAAAGACAGATGTTTTTACCTTGTTGCTTCTCTTACCTCTATCTGTTCCAGAAAATACAACATCATCTTTTAGCTTGGATTCTATGCCTGGTTTCACCGAGAGGTTAAGTAAGACCCCTGATCTGACTTAATCCAAACTGTAGCATTGTAATGCCAACATCTTAGAGAAGCACAGAAGCTTAACTCATAACTGTTTGTAAAGTGCTTACAGAATGAAAGGTGCTATCTAAGTAGCTAAGAATTATTACTCAGTGCACAAAAAAATATTTATTTTCCAACAGGATAAGGCTGTGTCGGGAAGTGGTATAGCATTAGTGAGTAAGACTCCAGAAAAAGGAACTGCATACCGTTACATTTATACATTCAAGAAAGGCTGAATGTGACAATTAAGAAAGGTCAGTACCTTTGAGGAAGCAGGACAGACAGACAGGGCGAGGTGGAAGTAGTTATTTTCGCATTAAGAAAACACACTAATATATTCATTGTCTTTATCTGCTGTCAAAAGATGGGTTTTGTGTAACAAAACTACCTTTAACCTTTTAAAGACATCACAGAAATGCATCCAATTAAACTCCTATGTCCAGAAAGAAGGCAACCTAGCATCTGTTTATTACTAGCTACTTTTCTACTCCTGCCACAAAAAAACCTCTAAAAGTTATTAATCTTTACATCAATGCCTGATAATATTTCTTCCCACTATTATAACTACTTTAAACTCAGCATAGAGATATTCATGACTTCTTTGATGTGGGTCCTCATCTGGTGATACTGAAGGCACAGAACTGTTTTACAAAGGGGAACTGGGATGTAAAGTGTTCTCTGAACACAGGAAAAAATTCCCTGTGAGCAAAGGGCCAGAACAATGCCTGTGCATCAGTTAAGACTCAGTTAAGCCTCAAAATAGGATTTAATTTTTAATTTTATGATCCACTGGCTATGCACTGGTCTTGTAACAGTGCTGCTTTACTTCTTTACCCTCAGCACCTTCCTGACAAAGACAGGACAATCAGATTGTAACATCAACTTTGACAGCGGTACACTCTCTAATAATGCTGATCCTGAACCAGCTGCTTTTTCTAGTTATATGATACAACGTCTCAAGCATCCTTATAATTCGTATACTACACTCACATGCATCAACCACATGCTTTGCATTTGCACCTGGTTCCTTTCAATTTAATGCTGTAGTTTTGAATTTTTCATTATCAAATTCCTCCCCCTCCAATCAAAAAGCAATGACAAAACTAGGTGTGATTTACCTTATTACAATTTTTAGAAACTTGACAAAGAGCACTGCTTGACATACCATCCTTATCTGGCATTCCTAAAAAAAGAATACATAAAATAAATACATGCTGTACATTATTTAAGTAATAGTGGAGATATTTATCAACAGAATAGGGAATTGGATGATTCAATACTTTGATAACATACACATTAATCTATGATCTTTTAAGAGAAAAACAGTTTATTCAGACAGAAGTTTTCTCTTCTGAACACAAAAAAAGACAAAAAGCTAACTTGTGTAAATACTATAAGCAGCTTGCTCAACAGAGTAGTTTCTCACAATTTAGTATTTTAAGTATGTATACAGGAATTCTTTGTATTTTTTCATTTAAATTTTCATTTGAATTTTAGTACCTGGAAGTCAAATGTGACTTGAATTAGCATTGCTATGCTATGTCATGCTATGCTATTGTTTCACAAATAGAACAGAATGAACATGTAACATACGGGACAAAATCTGCAGATGGAATTTTTAGCCATCAGATATTGTCCTGGTTGGCATCTAAATAATCCTCTGGCAACTAAATAAACTACCTTGATTTACAGAATAATGAGTTCCAAAGGCTGTCCTTGGCTTCATGTCTACAGCACTATTTAACAGCTCAACAAGTTCTCATGAGGCAAAGACATACCCAAACTTATTTAGCTATGTAACTCAGGTCAGCCAGCAGCATGGTTACTGCAGGCTGTCTGCCCAAGCGCTAACCTAGGTTCCCATGCAGGTTGTGTAGCCCATCCTAACTAAAAAACTCAGCCAGTTTGTTTTATTTATTTTACTAGCTCATGGCTGTGTTCCATGGAATTCATGTAACACCTATAGCCAGTTAAATGTTAGGTGACATCATACAGTATGCTTTAGTCAACAGGCCTGGCTCATAGTGCAGATTTGTGTACAGCTCTGTGTACACTTGTATACAGCTGGGAATGCAGACAGGCAAGTTCCAAAGTGTCTCCTACTATATGCAGTATTAATACAGTTGTAATACTGAATTGAATTTAACATTTAAATTCTAACACCCAAAACCAGAGGACTTTCATCTTCCCCTTTCTTCTCTTAGTTCTCTAACATCTGATGTCTATTCTCTCATACTCACTGTCATTGTTGGAGCCAGTTTCCATAACACCATAAGGAGGAGTGAGAAGTCCAGACATATGCTGTCGATATTTCTGAAAGACAGAGATGGTGCAACCAGTTAGATACAGATGTGTAAAGCCATTCAATGGATGATGTGGTATTTACAGTTGTGTGTCTGCTGCCTTGTGCTTCACAGGCACACATGCAATATCAGGCAGTCAGACATGTCTTTATTCTTAATGCTACAAGGCCTGCTTTCTTGACTGGAGCATACTGCCTTTATTTTATCAAAAGTGCTAAAACAGTTCCCTCCATCTTCCCCAAAGCAGGACTTTGAAGGTTCTAATAAATCAATATTGTACTCAGTTGCGTGATTTCCCATAAATGCTGATTTCAAGCTCATTTGAAATTATACTACTCAGCTGAACTCAAGCTAGAAGGCTACTTTATTGTAGGGATGGAGACAAGGTTGTTAGCTAAGGATTCATGAGAATCATGTACCACTACAATTTTGGTGTCAGATTTGAAATATACATGATTTAGTGCGAAAATTTAATTTAAGTAAACATTTAATTCCAACACAGTAAGTTTGGTTTTCATAACTACAAGGTTATGAATCACATAAACCCAGCGCCTCATGTTATGTACACACACACACACAAACTGTATTATCAGATGAAACTTGTAACTATAAAAATAATGTCCCTTGTACCACTGTAAACTACATAATTGTAACTGATGTCAGTAACTGTTATTTTTCTTCAGAATGCTGGTGACATGATCAATAAGGTTCAAAACTCTGTCTAGGGCTTATGAAATTCACATGAGCTAAAAAATAACACTAAAGGATAAAAATGTCCTTTTATCAAATACAAATCATTCAATGAATAAGTGACACATTTTTGTGTTCAATCATACTATATTACTGTCATGCTTATGGGTAAACAATTACAATTCCCTTTTGGAACTGTCAGAAAACAACCTTGTGCAACAGGGATGCTGATGATCAGCGTAAATAAAATGTGTCATGCAGTCCTTAGGGTGTGCAGTGAGCTGAACATGAACAATCAAGCAGCTGAAATTCATGTAGGTATCAACTGAGCAGACTTAATAATTGAGAAAGAAAATTTCCCTCATAGTACAATTTTAATTCAAAAGTTTTATCCTTTTCTCTATGGAGCTGTTTGGATGTATTCACCTTTAAAATGTTGCCTGCTAGATGTCAATAGATGCTTGAATTATCCTTTAAACATTTATTCTTCCTGGAAATGGATATGAAAATATAAATTCTAACACTAAAGACTAAATGTCTTGCATCCTAAATAATAACAAAAGCTACAAAAACTACACTAATCTTAATAGTACAATCCTGTGTTTAGACAAGCTATTAAATCCTAAAGATTAGTAACATATTATTTAAATCTCACCCATAATCCAGCCGAAAACTCGTAGGAGCAAAACTATGTTATATCCCTGGTCAGTCACACAAAATAAAAGCTACTTCACTTGAGGATAAAACTATTTTCTATCCCAAACCGTTTAGTTTCTAATACTCTGCATCCAGTCCTATGCCTGGAATTTAGCGAGAGGAAGAATGTGAGAAATAATTATTTTCTCAGCTCAACTAGTAAATCACACACATAAACCAAGAGAAAAACTCATTTTGGTTGTCCAAATGAAAAAAAAAGAAAGCATGTCACAAGGGGCTGAAATAACATTTTGTTCTACCTTCTACTGAATTTGTTCTTGAAAGGTGATTTAGAAATGGAAAATTTAAATGTTTCATTTGGGTTATGATAAAATCAAACTTTTTAGGTTTTTTTTCTTTTGTTCTTCCTCTCCATTCAGATGATATTTGTATCTTTGTTCTGTTTTTTTCCAAAATAGCATTTTTCCAGAAATACATTAGTGCACATTTAATCCACCTTGATAAGGAACTTGAATTGTAGGAAGACAGTCATTTTCTCTTTTATTTCCTGTATCACGTCCACAGCCATCATACACTGCATGGCAGTTTTACCTTCTCATTAATTTTCTAATATTTTTCCTGATTATTCTTCTCATGAAATGAAACACAGAACACAAATATTTTCCAAAAGATTTGGGGGCCTAGCTTAATAAAAGTACCTACAAGTAGAATAAGACAAAATTGCAGGCATCTAGTCCCATTCAGCCCCACCTCACACTCAGGATGCCAAAACCCACCAGGAGCAAAAGCACAGACTGCCAAGGGCTTCAACTCTGTCATCCTCCATGTGAAGGTGCCACCCTGCTATGGGGTAAGTCTATTTATGAGTCTGATACAGCAAGCCCAGTGAGCAGTGTTGCCTGTGAAGGAGTTCAGACAGCATTACTAGAAGAGGCACTAATTCAAGACATGTTCTTAGAAAGCCCAGTTGATCAGACTCCTCCAGGGCACCTCTGCATAAATGAACTAACTTCTAGATCTGGGTGTCTGGAGGGAAGGCCGATAGGACTGCCTACACATGGTCTCCCAAGAAGGTACCTCAGTGGGGTGCGGGCTGACACAGAAAGTGTAATTTATACCCAGAATTGTCTCACTTCATCAGCCAAACTAAATATCAAGGGACACTTATTTGTCAAGAAGTCAGGGAAACACTTCTGGGAAACCTAAGTATGCAAAGAAAGATGTAAGTAACTGCATAAAGATTCACAGTATCAGATGGAATAATGAAGTTCCGGGCATGAGATCTCTGAAAGCTGAGATAATGAGGAAAACACAGTACTGACTGTGAGACTTATCTTGTTACCGTAATGTCTGTACATGAGAAGAAAATGCAGTAAGTGAAATTGTACTGGTAGGTGGCATTTAAAATCATCCTGAAGATTAACAGACTAAATATTTACAAAAGGCTTTTGAAAAAGTATTACACTGGTGGTATGAACTCTTGAAAGGCTTTCCTTATGAAAGACAGCAACAGTTATCAAATCATCATAAGCTTGTTTATTACCAGAAGTCTTCAAGTTCTGTAAATCCAACATGACAGCAGGTTTTAAAACTACACTCAGTGACCTATTCACTCTGTCTTTAGATTTCTACCAATTTATAAACTCTATCATACAACAGCTTAAAGACCAGACACTTCCTGCATCTAATCTGACAGCATGAGTAATAAAGACAGTATTTTTAATTCCAGTTACTGACTGCCTTATATTCATGCAGTGGTGAAAATTAACACGACCTTTTCAGCCACTGCTGTAGCCTAAAGCACAGAAGAGTGCTGACAAGGAACAGTTGGGGATGGGAGAAAAGGAAGAAAGAGAATCACACACTTGCCTTACTGGGGAGGTGCTGTGGGTGAATTTTCATACTAGCAGTTTTTAAGGCCTCTTATTGTCAGGCTTTTCCGCGTGTCCCTTCACATGCTCTTATTTAGACTTTATTTGGAGTTAGCCGCACTTAGTCTCAAAGGGTTTTGTTACTACAATAGATTTTACTCTACTCCGTGAACACAGTTTGGTATAGTTTTATATGCTAATGTTTGGAAAGGCAATTACTCTAATTATGATGCAATCTATTTCTAAATTATTTACATTTTTTTCTAGCATACATAAGATATCTAAAATATGTCTTTTTAGTTAGTCCCTTCTCTTCTGCTGCAAGTATTGAAGAGCTAATACCTGTTTAAAGGGAAAGATGGAACAAAAAAAGAGATCTATACAATACAAACATTCCAAAACAAGCTAGGTAGATGTGAAGAAAATAGATGAGCCTTTGTTTTCCATGTGCGTTGCACAGCAGAACCACAGCACTCTAATGAGGAAGGCTCACGACTGGTCAAGGGAAGACCTCCTGGATATAAATCTTTGAACAGAGGTTCCACACCAGATACTCCGCCATGTGCAGCAGTTCTCCAGTCAGCAAAGAGTATGTGATGGGCTGTGTAATAAGAAGCCGGGTAGGGATGGTTTGTAGCACTAGGGAGTCAAGTCAGGCTTCTGATGCTTCCCCATGTCAAGGTGAACCTACATGTGGCCGTATACTACAAAGTGAGTGTCCTGTAACATTGGAGGTTTTGTAGACCACAACAGGTGCTTGGTTGAATACATGATCTCTCTGTTTCTTCTTCTCCTTCTACCCAACTCACACTCTCAAGCCACAGTGTCACTTTTGTCCAGATGCACTTCTGCTGCCTAACCCCAGAGGAGCCTGCATTACTTGCAAACGTGGGAGCAACACAAAACAATTCATTTCGGTTGTAGAAAACCTAGGCCAAACATCAAGGTGCCCTTTCCACACACATTTTTCAAAACTTTGTGTAACTATTTTATTAGATACTGTTATTTTCACTATTACCTGACTTCTGCAACCCTCCTACACTAGCTGTCCATATGCCTGCAATGCTTTCTCTTGGGGAATATATGCTGTAGCTTGAAAATGTAGTCCAGCCTCTCTATTTTCTTTTGACAATAAATAATTGATCACTGATGCTCTCAGTACAACTCTGTTCGTCCTCTAAGTTGGCTGCACCAGTCATACCACTTTGGCAACGAACCACCTCCCTTGTGAGCATTACTCACAAGGGCGTGCCACTCCCACAGTGCATTGTTTCTTTTGCTCTTTCCTCCAGAACAATGAGAGGTGTGAAAGAGCCCCTGCAGATCTCCAGACCCTCTTTTCACCCACCAAACCAAGCAGTGGTTGCTGTCTCAAAGTCTAGATCTTTGCCTTTAGATTTGATGCTCCAAATACTGCTCTTCACTGAATTAACTGACAGGTGAAATCTCAGGTCTTCCACCTGCTATCCATTAGTGTTTTCCAATAAAAAGTGCCTAATGTTCTTACAGAATTTAACCAAAAAAAAAAAACAACCCAAATCTGGTAATCATATTCATAGTTGCTTTCTACCCAAATCTTGTTACAAAGGGGAAATCAAACAACACAATTGCTATTGCCCGATAGTATATGCTGAGAACCACGGAAGACTGGCATAATTCTGATTTCAGATACTGCCTTCTTAGTACATTTACAAATTAGTATGCCTATTTCTTCTAAGCAAGCTCAAACAGAAAATTGCCATACATTTCAGGTCAATGTCACAAAAAGGACCTGACCCACAGCTGTTTAATG